CTCCTGCCGAGATGATGTTTGGAAGGTCGCTTAGGACGACATTGGATCAGTGGAAATTATCAACGAGAGAAAGGACGGAAAACGCTCTATGGAAACAAAAGTACTACAAAGATAGAAGTGTTGAACCTCGGGAGTTTGTAGAGCAGCAAAAAAGTTTGGATAGCAAACGAAAGGACAGCAGGGTGGCATGAAGGAAAAGTGTTACAACGAAAAAGCGCAATATTGTACGATGTGGAATCAGAGGGGATCGTTAAAAACAAGCATGCAGATCAATTGAGGGATGCACATACACAAGAGAAGGAAATACCCGTACGTTGACCGAAGAAGTGGAAAAGGCAGAACATGAGAATACAACTCTTGAAAAAAGAGTTTCGAAACCCCCATTACGTTATCACGATGAATTCAATTTATAGTGGGGAGAACTGTAATATAAATTGAATTTAAATTGAATATAATATTAACTTTTCGTTTGTAAATTATATAACCTGAAGGATTGAATTCATGATATATATATACGTGATATTTTGTATTAAATATACTTTTACTTACTTTTATTTAATAAAACACTTCACTCAGCCTTATTTAACTTTTGTATTTCTATTTCTTCTGTTCTACAAAATGGAAGTAAAAATGAAAAATATTTAAAAATTATAGATATATATTAATTATTAAAATATTATTAAAAATACTTATTAATTCTAACTCACTAATAATTTTGAATTTAATAAAATAAATATATATAATAATATAATAAATTATCGTTTGATTTCAATCTCTTTAACTAAATATTTTTCCATTTTATTAATATTTTTGTAATATGTTGGAAAATTGATATTCAAACATTTGTAAAATTTTGGTTAAAATTTTTATTATAATGATATTTATGAAAACAGTCAAATTTGCGATGGGGAGGGGTATTTCCCCCTTCCCTCACATTGGTTACGCGCCTGCTCCTCATTGAGCCCCTTTTAGTTGGCTGGTTGAGTCGGCTCAACCCGGCTAATGAGTTGCCTCAAGCCGCCTTTTAAGCCAAAATTTATTTATTTGAGCGGCTTAGCCCTAAACCCATCTAGTTTTTGAGTCGAAAATTGACTCAAGCCGGCTCTTTGAGCCAAATTAGTCGGCTGGCTCGAGTCGGCTCATAACTTGGCTCAAGCCGACTTTTGAGCCGAAATTTATTTATCAAGCTTATGTGTGAGTCTTAGATTAAAATATTTTGGAAGATAATATGATCATTAGCGAAAATAAATCTTTTCAAATGCAAATATAATTTTTATAATATATTGTATTATGATGGGGATATATTATGTCTAAAGAATATCATTTCTAATAATATGCGTTCATGTTCAATTCCATATTCAAAAAAGGGACGCTTTCACCTTTATGAAAAAATTTTTTAAACAAATTCCACTTAATATTTAATTTAATTATTTTATAATACTTTAAATTGTATTCAACTATTAAAATATAAAGCCCTTGATAAAAAATTAAAAATATTAGCGAAATTTCAAATAATCACACTAAAAATAAATAAATTCTAAAAGATATAAACTATTTTATATCTATATAATATATATAATATTTAATGATTTTTACTATACTTATCTATTATGATAATCATAGAAATTTAATAAGCCTATGAAAACAAGAATCTAAAATAAATTATTAACAGGATAGTTATATCTTCTATAATATATATAAAAGCCTTGTCACAAAAATAGCGTCACGCTCTCATGTCCCACTTTATAATATATATTCAAAAAATCGTTAATTTTGAAAAGTGCCTGTGGCCCAATCTGGTAAGAACTTCGCTTACAAATCTAGATGGATTATTGGACTTGGGTTCGAATTCCGGCAAATGTTTTTTCTTAATCTGACAAAATTAATCTAATAGATACGATTCAAAGAGTACGAGATTTATTTAAATCCTTTTTTAATTCTTGAATTTATGTATAATTTAAAATTTTAACCATTATATGGGGAACCAGAATTTTCTCTTTTATTTGATGAGGGATGAATCAGAAATTTTCCTATCTTATGAGGTGTTATTTAAAAATTTATATTTATTTAGGGTTATTCTAAAATTTTCCATTATTTGTATAAAATATGTTAATAAAGTATATATTTAGTAATTTTAATTTATGTGTACAATTAAAGTCTTTTAAAATAAATTTTTATTAATTTGTATTTTATAATCTAAAAATTTATTCTTGCAGATGAGAGTTTTATGTTAAAACCCTTAAGAAGGATCCATTCCACATTGAATTTTATACTATCTAATTAGGTAATTTTTATGCATAAGTAAATATTTGCATCTCTTATCTTTTCTGAAATTGGCCTTTCTACATGCATTCCATAGTTTTGTATATTTTCTCATAACTTCATAATTTAATTGTAGAATGTATATTTTTCATAACTTATTATAACATTTTTGATTAAATGTATAACTTTTTTGTTTAACTTATATATAGTTAACCTCCTATTATTTGTTAACTTAGAATATCTTTTTATTTTTTCTATTGTAATTTAATAACAATGTCTTAAATTAAAATTTTGTAACTAAGTAATAAATCATTTGGAAGGGTGGTGGTTTGTTTAAAATTAGGATGAACATATTTTTAGCATGGTACTTTAATATGTATTCATGATTTTCATATAAATACCAGTAGAATGATTGGTAAATCAGATATTTCCCCTTCATTTTATCCTAATTTTGAAAAATTTTCCCATTAATATAAATGGCAAAAAAAATATATACATATTAGACAGATTTAATTCTTATAAACCCCTACATCACACCTATTTTTCTGGATCCAAGGAAAAAAAATTATTCTGGGTTTGGGAAATATTTTTCACAATTAATATGGACTTGGAAGTAGTTTGGGAAATATTTTTTAAAATTAATATAGTCTTAGACTCCTGAAAATTTTTTAATTTTAAATATGGGTTAGAAATTGGCCTGAAAATTTCTTTTGGAGACATGGCCAGGCCTGATCAAATACCAAGGCCCATGCAACTTTCATATTCTGATTGTATTTTTAAATGCATTGTGACTTTTTATATATTTTATTTCAGTTCTCAATTATCAAAATTATTATGGTCTTTTTGAGAAAATTTTCCCAAGTGTGTGGACCTGGCTTGTGAATTTTTTTAATATTAGGCATAGGTAATATTTAACACAGAATAATATGACCCTCAGGTAAAAGCTAATTTAAATATATTTTTATAATAATAGTATTCATTCTTAGTCTTAATGGGTTGGCCTTTGTCTGAAGTAGGGGTGAGCTGGGTTAAAATAGAATAAAAAATAGATATGGTTTTTAGAGATTGGAAAAAATTTTGAAAATTACTATGGGTTGGCAAGGCTTGGGAAGATTTTTTTATAAAATTTTTATAGGTTGGGCTGTGAAAAATATTTTTATAAATTATATTAGGCTGGACTTGGGGAAAATTTTTCAAAAATATTATGAGCTAGAATGCTTGAGAATTTTTTTATTATTAACTATGAGTCAGACATTGGCCTAAAAAAATTTTTTTGGAAGCTTGGGCTCGGCCTGATCAAAAAACCTAGGCCCATGAAAATCTGATTTTGATTGTATTTTTAACATTATGATTATTTAAATATTTTATTTCAGTTCTCAACTACCAAAATTATTATATTGACTGGACTTGGAATTTTTAAAAATTATTATGGCTTTGTAATTTGCCTAAGAATTTTTTTAATATTAAATATTAGGTATAAATATTAACAAATAATATTGGTATTATCAAAAGTTTTAATTTTATTTTACCAAACCATCGTATTTACACTTAGTTTTAATGGATTAAACCTGGCCTGAAGGGGGGGGGGGATTAAAAGAATAATAATTGGATATAATTTTCAAATAAGAGGTAACAACTATCATAAAAGTAAGAAGAAAATTCTCATTCCCCGTCATTTTTGACGGGCTATCTTCTAGTATTATATAAAATAATAAATAAATATTACAATCAAATATTTGTTTAAATTATAACTAGAAGATTTTGAAACTGTATTATACTTTTTGGAAATATTTTACATTTGGTAAGGATAGAATTAGTTATTGAATATAAGATATTACTGTAAAGCATTTATTATATTTGGGCCATGATAATTTCAAAATCAGGATGAAATAACATCCATTCCGTGCTATGCTAACTAATCTATAAAATATTTATATAGGACAGAAATAGTGGCTGGTTAAAAAAATTCAAATGCGATAAAGGAAACTGCTGATTAAAAATTAGGACTTTCTAAAATTTAACTAACGTAAAAAAGAAGGCGTTCATCAAAAAAAAAGGAACGCGTTCTTGTTTAAAGTTTGTCAAAAATAAAAGAAACACCACACCGTTCACCATTTTCTTTAATGAATCCAACTTCGTTTGCGTTCATTTTCAAGGCATTCGTTTATAACATTTAATATATATTTAAAAAACTTGTTTATGATATCTAAATAAATTCCTTGATGCTAGAACATTTATCTACAAATGTGTGTAGAAAAATTGTCCTAACGACAAAATTTCTTCTGATAAAATCTCCATTCGTTATTTATTTTTTTGACTTAAATTTTTTGTTTGTTATTTTAAAAAATATAAGTTATTCAATATTTTTATAAAATGGTGAAATGCATAATAATTGCATAATTTTCCAAAAACCGTTTATGTAAAAAAACTATTCAATAAAAATTTAAAATCAAAGCTTATGAATATGGTGTTGTTCAATCTAAATAATTTGCGAATTCAATTTAATGTAGGATGGGATATCTCCATACTTTTATTTAAGGCTCCATTAACCTTTTTTTACAACAAATCATAAAAAAATAAAAAGGGGGATATACAAAAATAAATTTTTAGTTAATTGGAGGTGGGGGAGGAAAAGATTTAAATTGATTTTTGTATCTTATCTTTCTACCGTTGGAATAGAGAAAAAATATATTATGATTTCTCGATTATAGATAAATAACAATTTAATTCTTTATTATATGATAAAAATTACAAAGTTGACAGAATAGGCATAAGCTATAGTGATTTAAATGATAAAATCATTAATATGCGAAATTGTGAAGATTTTAATATATAGATAATCCAAGCAACTGTCTAATTTGATGTCTTTTGTCTTTGCTATTTTCAATAAGCCCCATCCTAAGGAATATTATTTGTAAAATATAGAAAATTAAAATTATATTTAGATCAAGTAAATTAAAGATGACTAATTATTTAAATTCTTAAATAAAAGATTCAAATGGCTTAAAATTGAAAACAATTTATTTTATTCGAGGCCTCGCAGGGGAGACCGAAGATCTTTGAGCCTGGGAATTTTGGCGGTTGGAATTTTTTTCTAAAGCACTAAACTCTAATAGTTAAATAATGAATCACATAAAAATATGTTAAAATTCAAATGCTATAATTTTTCAAAAATATAAAAGAGGCTTTACAGTGTTGTGCAGATTTGATGAAAATATTTCCATATTTTTAATTTATTTGCAAATAAAATTATTTAACTTGCAAAAATTGTTAAAATAACATATTTCCAGAAATTAGGATATATAATTTTTTTAATATTATTATTATTACATAAATAATATATATTTTTTTATATACAAAAAATCTTTTTTAGTTCCTGTGGCGTAGACATGGGGGGGGGGGGGTTTGGAGTTGAAACCCCCCCATCACCCCTCAAAATTTTTTTTTTATTATTTTATTTATAAAACTGTTTCAATTTAGAAATAAAATAAATAATATATACGATATTAAAATGAAATATATTTTTATAAACTAAATAAGTATAATTAAATAAAAAATATACACATTGAATTGATTTTAAAAATTGTGGCTTCGTAATCGCTTGTAAAAAATTTTCAGCATCTGAGGAATCTTTTTCTTTGCTAGATACGTAGGATTCGAGTGCTGCAAAAATAACTTCATATAATTCTATGAAGAGTCTCACTGATTGTTGTCTTTCGATAAACCTAGTTGGGCAAAATCGTTTTAGTTTTTTTTTGGATTATTTGAATCAATATCATCAAATGTTCGGATAAATAACTGTCTCTTTTTGGGTGGTGTGAAAAAGTCACAAACCGACGATATTGTTTCTAAATTTTGAAAAATATATTAAATTATAAAAAGATATCTATAATACATAATAAAATCTAATAAATTCTAATTAAATTTAAAAAAATTTACGTAAACTGTTCCGGATGTCTCGAATTTCACATGCCTCGGATATCATCAAATTTAGGCAATGTGAGCTGCAGTGAACATATAAAGCGGTGCTATAAAGCTCTCTAATTCTTGACTGCACTCCCTTAACATGACCAATCATTGAGGGAGCTCCATCATATCCCTGGCCTCTCATTAGATTTAAATTTAGATCTTGAAGGGATGCTAAAATTTCTTTGGCTATCGTCTCTGATTGTAAATCAATAAATTGAACAAAGAGTTCCTTCATTTTATAATGACCTGATTCCATATCAATAAACCTTATTGCTATGGATAATTGCTCTATGTTACCAACATCCGATGTCTCATCCGCCAGAACACTAAAAAATGGTGATGCTTTCACTTTTGTAGAAATTTCTTTCAATATAAATTTATTGCATATGGATATGATTTCATTTTGAATGCATGGACTAAGGTAGGTGGCATTTTTAGCCGAGCTTTCAAAAAGCTTTATACAATTATCATTATAGTTGCATAAAAGTTTCAGCAATTCCTTAAAATTCCCTTCATTATGAGAAGATGAAAGTGTTAAGGGGCCAGCTGATACTCTATGAGATCTTGATGCTAAGCCCTGCCTCCCTAACCAAATGATTGCATCAATTATTATAATTATTCTGGCTCTGTTGGTTGTAACAATATCAAATTTTTTTTATTCAATACATTAGATATTGATATCTTTTGATTCATAGAGATGGCTTTTAAAGCATCAGATATCTCACAAGAATTGAGATGATATTTATTTTGTTGATGATAATTAAAATTTTCAAGAGCATCTTTTCATCTTGTATATACTTGACTTACCAATGTTTTGAGTTTTTGTAACCCGGGTCCAGCATATCTTGGTGAAAAAATGACGCACACTTTACAAAAAGCTCCCTTTTCATTAGCTGAATAAGCAAGCCACTTATATTTGTTAAGCCACGATGTTTGAAATGTTAAATTTCTTTTATCCAAAGACAATGGAAATTTATAACATTTGTCAGGTGCCCAAATATTTTCCACAGCCAACAATTTTTCATTATCATTTTTAAACTGAAATTTTAAGTATAATGAAATATCCTTTTAAGGACATTGATTTTCTATATTTTTTTTAAATTTTAAAATATATATTTCAATGTGAATTTTAGAGTTCAGGCCACAGCAGCACAACAAGAAAAGAATATAGTTTATTAAAAATATATCTTAAATAAAGATTCAAGTTATCTATTACAAATTTAAAAGACAGGGTAAGACATAGAAGGAAATTATTTGTTTTTATTTAAGATACAAGTTTTCACAATACTGCCCAACTCTGCTTGTGAATGTTGTAATATCTAAAGATTATTTGGGAATTTACAATAATCAAAATGATGAGCTTTTCATATAAAAAAGGGTTATAACTAAATAAAGCACATTGCAAAATTTTAATAACTCAAATGAAAATATAATTTACAAATAAAAAAATAGAACTCAATTATATTATAAAATACCATACCATCATTTGATGATTTTCCAGCCAAATCAACTGAGAGCTCAGATTCTTTAATAATACATAATTTTTCTAATTATAAAAAATTAAGAGAACTTATAAATGATAATTTAGAATTATACCATTATCATTTGATGATTTTATTTTAGCTAACTCATTTGTTTTCCCTGAGTATGTTGGTTGTATTTCTAATTGCAAGATTTAAATAAAAGATATTATAAAAGTGAATACCATTACCATCGTCATTTGAGGATTTTGTTATTTCTAAATCAAATTACATAAATTTTCTAAATCAATTTAAATATACCTTTATTTAGTAAAATCTTATATCCATGTGGGAATTAAATAAAAATTTTAAAAACTATCTAAATTTAGTTTAACAATTTAAATTTTATTATTAAATTTAAAATATCTAATTAAACAATAAAAATATATTTACAATATATATTTAATTGTTATTTAATATTGATTTTAGAAAAATAATTCAAAAATTAATTTGGATTTAAGAGAGGCTATGAATAGGGCAAAGGATATTGTTGAAATATTGACAAATATCAGAGAAAATGTGGATGAAAAATTTCATGATATTTACAAGAAAGTAAAGGAGATCGCTAATTTGTTTGAGATTGAAATTTTTAAACCTAGAGTAGTTTCTAGACAGTCAAATCGCTTAAATATTGATGCCTCTTCGATTGAGGATTTTTATAAAATAAATATTTTTATTCCCCTTATTGACACATTTTTATTTCAATTAAAAGAAAGATTTATTAGTCAAACGTTTAAATGGATTAACCCTTTTAAATATTTATAAGGAGATTATTCTAGATAAAAATTTGATTCTAGATGAATTAGCCAAATCTCAGAGAAAAGTAGACCTCTCTTTATAAATTCAAACTATGATTATCATATTTTCTTAGTCATAAAATTTTTATATGCAAAACTTAATTATAATGAATTCTTAGTCATAATATTTATGTATTTTTAATAAAAGTATTGCTGTTGCAATAAGAAATATTTATAGATTATTTTGTATTAATTATAATTGTTAAATTATATTTTTTAAAATACCGTACAAGAATTACTTATATTTTATTGAATTATATATTTTTTAAATATAACTAATAAAGCACATAATATTGCCAATATTTTAAAAGTAGAGTTTGGGGGCTTCGCTCCCCCCCCCCCCCCATGGATAAATCCTGGCTACGCCACTGGTTCCTATGCATAGGCACAATCCTAACCAGATATGGTTCATACTTCCAAAAAAAATATTCTGCAAAAATTAACATTGTTGTAAAAATTTTATTGCAGAGTGCCTATTACTGCTGGCATGATCCTCTGTCTCCTCTTGGCGTTATCCTTTCTTAAAATAATGAAAATGGGAGTTCAAATTTTATTTTTTTAAAATCTATTTGCGTTTAACTTAATATCAGATTAACCTTTGTTCAGAAATATGTTAAAAGATAAGATCTTTTTTTAAAAAAAATTTGTGATTTCATCATGAAAGATTTTTTAAGCATAAAAATCTTCAATTTTATTCTCAAATTTTTTCAAATTTTGCCATATATTATTTTATCTAGTTTTTTAAAATATTTTGAAATTTCTAATATTAGTATTTTCCACATTTACATTATATTATGCCATATATTAAATTTAATAGAAAACTTAAATCATATTAAATTCTTTCGTTAATAAATAAACTCTCAGCCTATTCCTAAAAAAACTCGAATCCCCAATATTTTAGAACCTCGCAACCTTTCAGATGATGACCTTACCTTACAACTAATTTATTCAAAGAAAAATGTGCCTGAATGCCAATTAATCAGAATTTAAATCTTGGTATGAAAGATTCATATCCTCCAAACCCATGAAAATATTGTATATTTTAAAATACATTTAAGCATTTTCCAAATATATTAAAATTATTGTATATTTTGGCAACAATGGCATCTTAAAATCGATTGAATAGACTGGCTTTAACTTAATATACATCAAGATTTAATCCCGAATACCGAAAAAATTGCTAAAAAATTTAAAAAAATAAAATGCCCTAATTATGATTGATTTGTCTTTTGACCGTCATTTTTTATTAGAGGAGATATAAAAAATAATTTTTTCTAACTATAATTATCAATAATCATTCTACCATTTTTAAAATAGATAAAATTTGCATCTAAAGTAAAAATCTCCGCCCTATGATTAGTTAATACTAAGCTAAAAGATGTATAAGACGATAAACTTTCAGAAATTCATTGTGATTTATTAATTTCTTAATCTTTATTATATAATGTATATATTTTTAGCTAGTTTAATATAAAACGAATCTAATTAATTTTTTCCTTTATATATTGTAATAAAACGTAATCTTAATTAAATATAAAAATATATACCAGTCAGTATCGACCAACAAATCACATATACGATCAATAGTTTCAGGATTGTAAATACTTTCGTCAGCAACAATAAAATATTCGTACATAATTTCGGCAGTTCTTTTCCTTATCTTAAAGTAAATATAATAAATTACAACTAATTTTACAATTATATCAAATTTTTCATAAAAAATAAGAAAAGTGGTGGCAAAAAAATTTAAATAAATTGCGATATATTAAAATAACTTATTTCTAAGAATGAAATAATTTAGAGATGGGATAATTAAATACCTAATAGTTGATCAATACCTATCTACGATTTTCTTCTAATCTAATATGTAAGTTAGTAATTATTCTATCTTACGGTGTAAGAATATTGATACATTGCGATGTCAAGCTATGACCATTGGAGGGAGAAGATCAAAATATCAAATTGCATTATTAATTATTACTTAATTTTAGATATCTTTTTTGCAGGAGCGTACGCAGGAATTTGGTCTGGGGAGGGGGGGGGATAATAAAATTTTTTAAGAAATATTATTGTTTTTAAAAAATATCAAGCATAAATTTATTAAGAACTAATAACTATTTCTAATACACAATTTTATATTTATGTGAATTATAAAAAAATTATATGTAAAGAATCACTTAAATGACCCAAAATAGAACTTTGAATTTTTTGAGCCTTTACACAAAAAGTTTCTTGGGAATAATTGCATTTTGTATGTTATATATTTACAATGTAAAATCCAATCTTCGTTGTGATTGAGCTAATTTTTCAATTATCTCATCTTGCTTGTCGACAAATGCCTATGATTATTCAAAAGATCCAAACTTTTCAATCTACTTTCAGATGTTGTACTTCTTGGTATGTATTTCAGAGACATGCAGGCCTTTTTTAAATATACCGAGACGGACCTGAATTTTTTAAAAAAAACACTTAATCCGGGCTGTATTTTTTAAAACAGCCTATATTTGAAATCGTTATTATTAGCTATAAAAATCAAAAATAAATATTATTAGCTATAAAAATCAAAAATAAATATAATTTATTTTAAAAAAATCCGAAAAAATCTTTAAAAAAAATCCGGGCCGCTGCAAATAGTACTATTGCAGGCCTCTGTTATTCTTCTTAAAAAAGAGAATGTTCTCTCATTAGTTTACTAATGGGAACAGTTCATAAACCCTTTTAATACATTGGGAATTTAATCTAAAATGTGTTTGAAATGCAAAGCTTCCATAGCATTTTTTGGGAGTATATCAACCATAGTTAATTTTATAAACATAGTTATTCAGCTAATAAGGCATCATAAGATACTTTAACATCTTCATGATAAAAATCTAACAAATATTTTTTTTTCTATCACAAGGTTGGTAAGGCTTTTGTGGAAGTATTGCATATTGGTAAGTGCTGCGATGAATTAAAAACCATTCATTTATTTGGGTTATAAATGTATCTTAGAGAGGGGACATTTGTTTTATAATACTCTTTTACTGATCCTATATTAATGTTTTATAGATGAGCTTGCCTTGCTGCAAGTTGGGAGACAAATATTAAACACGTATAGCTCTGCTTTTGACTCAACAATAACATATAAAATATGAAATTCTTCATCAACATTAGCCCTAATTTCCTTGAGTTCTGATGAAAGGCTCTCTGCTATTCTCATCTTCTTAATCAAGTCAATGTCATGTTTTTGAAAAGTAATACATAAAATAGTTGTATAATTAAATAATTCATTTTAATGAGAAAAAAATTTGCAATAAGCATTGAATCCAATAATTTTTCTGCTTCTGAGGAAATATTTCTTTCAGGCCATTGTGATATTTCAGTAATAGCAAATAATTGACTCTTCTAACTCCTTAAAAGCTGTTACTGCTTGATGGCAGAGACTCTATCTTGTTGGAAAAAGTTGCAATTTCTTTTTCCCTGTTGGACAAGAAGTTTCAGAAATAATAATTATTTGACTAGAAATTTAAAAATGGTAGATAAATATTACGCCACTAAAAACTTGAAATCGAAATTAATTGATAAAATAACTTAGTAGATAAATGTGATAATAAATGTAATTAAATATATATTTAATATGAGATACGAATAAATATTAACAAATAAAATTAATATAAACAATAATATTTTTGAATTATATATCCGGCATCTGCATTTTTTGGCTTTGGGGGGTGGGGATTTGTCCCCCTGCCCCCCCCTCCGCTGCGTACGCCAACTTGATTTATTTTAATATCAGGAATCTTTGACACAATATACAAAAATAATTGTTAATTGTAATTTAGATCTAATTCGAGATTATCGAATATTATGAATTTAAAATAAAACTTAAACTAATATAAAAAAAAACATTTTTTAATTTTTTTTAATACAATAAAAAAAAATATAGTTTGTAAAAATAAAAAATAGCATTCCAATAATAATTGTTTAAAAATCACATGCAATATCTATGTCTCGATCGATATTAGTATTTAAATTTAACTTTTTTTAATAAGAAAACTAGATTTCTTTCCTTTTCAGTTACCAAACAATTTAAATTTGGAATGAACCACACCAAATGATGTGAAAATGCTTCTTCTATTGATGTTTGTTTTTTTTATCATTTTGTCAAGAATTAAATGTTTATATGCTAACTCTCATTCAATAGGTTTTACTTTTATTTATCATTTTTCATAGGAAAACATAATTTTATTGAATGAATCAAATCTAACTTGAAATTTTATTTTAAATAATAAATCATTTCAAAGTATTATGAATATATAAATTTAATCAGTTATTATTTAAATTTACTCCCTTAACAAAATTTAGACCTTTATATAAAATAGCTAATTTATATTTATAAAAAAAGTTACAATGTAAAACAGGTAAATATCTTGCAGTCATTATTAAAAAAAAAATAAAAAAATTAGACTTAAATGAAACCTGATATTATTTAAAAATCTGGAATAAAAATGAATAACTGTTATGATATGGACAATTATATTAGCCCGTAATCAAAACCATCTTATTTAACTATTTAAATTAATTTTATTACCCGTGGATACTTGTGAATCAGATATTTATCGAGGCATGATATGACTAACGCATGATGAGCTTTGAAAGACTCAATGGTAGATATATCATTATCTTTATCAAGAAGTATTAAATCGCCCAGAACTTTCAAACCGTTATTAATTTTATCTAACTTATTTTTCGGCGGACATTTTAATATAGTTAATACGTTGGAAACGAGATCTTGATAAAATCTGTTTATTTTAAGAAAAAAAATGAAAACCTAAATTAATCATAATTTATGATATGACACTAATAATATATTAGGTGATATTTATAATCGAAATTAGAGCTTCGAATCGGAGTTATGTTCGTAGATCGGGTTTGGCCTGAAAAATCTTTCGATTTTATTCTAGGCCTGATTAGACTTGGCGATTTTTTTTCAACGAAATCAGCCTAGTCAGGCTTGAAACGTAAAATTTAAAATTAGGCCCAGTCCGCACAGGCCTGCCCAATTTCAAAAAAATTCATAAATGTTTAAAAAAATGCATGGAATTAAGCTAAATAAGCTTCAAAATATAAAGGCCTTTTAATAAATAAAAAGTAACAAATATACATAATGTTGATTAATAAAACAAGTTTATTCAGTCATGTATGATTAATAAAAATTTCGAATAATATCATAATTTAAATAATCGAAAATATTACCAGTAAATAAACTCCCAGGAAAAAGACTTAGGAAAAAATATCACTGAGGAGAAACCCCCAAGAAAAATATCTTAAGGAAAACAACCAAGCAGATCATGGAAATAAAGAAACGAAATAAAATTATCAGAAAATTGAAAAATACGGCCGGTTAGTAAAATCAATCGAAGTATCTATTTATTTCGATTCTTGACCTAGACGATATTATTTAGTTTTACTTAATTTTCCTAAAATTAGGATGGGAGACTGGATTGTAACTTAGGGATTATTTTCATATGCCTATTTTTTAAATTTAATTATTTTGTTAGATTTGCAATATACTTTCTTAGGTTACCCCAAATTTTTAAGACTTTGGGAGAAAAAAATTGAACTGATTAATAGGAGTTTGATTTTAAAAATGGAAAGTATTCCCTATAATAATTTTGAGAATTAAGGCAAATATAAAGGAAATTTTAAATGGTAAATAAAGCATGAAGAAAATAAAATAGTATAATTTATAAATATTACTTATATCTTAGTCAGAGATACTATTTGCACAACCCGGCTTGGATTTTTTTTAAAAAAAAAATTTTCGGCCCAGCCCGAGTTCAGACGCGGTCCGGATTTTTTAAAAATATATTTGATTTATTTTTAATTATTATAGCTAATATTAGTGATTTAAAATACTCGGTTTTAAAATCTAATAAATATTTTTTTAGGCCCGACCCGGGTATATTTAAAAATATCAATACGGCCCACAGGTCTCTGATTTTCATGAAAAATCAAAATTTTTTTTAAAAATTCAAGAAATTTTCGCACTATTTAGCCTTCAAAATCCAAATTTTAAAAATAGGTTCGATTCGCCTAAGTCAAGCTGGAATGGTTCATGCAGCAAGGTTTAAAAAAAATAGTCATCCAAAATGTATAATTTTATGATAGGAACTCTAAGGACTCATACATTCCACGGCAAGATTGCTTTCAAAATCAGTAATCATTATTCATGGAGGGAAAGTAGTATTACCGCGTAAAAATCAGGTGAACCTAATAAAATTTTTACAAACCTAAACCGAACACGATTTTAAATGTTATTTAAATGTTGGACAGACATTCATTTAACATTCAATTAAATTGTAAAAGAAATAAAAATATCATGAGGGGTTGTTAAAAGGCCAAAATATTCAATTTAAAAAAGTTTATATATGAATCTATGGACTAAATGGTGGGAAGACCAAGTGGAAATTTTGCCCACGAGGGGCAATATTTTAGGTCTATAGAAGGAAATATATAAATATTTATTTTTCATAATTTTCAAGATTCTTTTCTTTCATTCATATTTTTTTATATTAAAAATTGCTTTTAATAATATTTCATTTTTTTTAGCATTTAGATCTAGTCAAATTAATATGTTAATACATTACATTTTTGGTTTTGTCAAAAACTTTCCATTAGAATGATGTTGTGATTGATTAATAAAATTCATTATATAAAAATATACTTTTCAATCTTCATTATTGTAAATCTTGTTGTTCATTGGAATTAAATAAAAATAATTATAATATCTAACCAATAAACACAAGTACAAAATACAAACATAGATAACAATATATCGATATAAAATAAAATAAAACATTATTTTATTTACTAATCTTTCTAATAAAGTAATATCAATTGATTGTTATGCTCTATCTTTGATTGAAAGTTTGCGCAAATATAAAACGGTTAATTTTTAAATTTTTTTTAAAAATTATGTGGCCACTTACATATTTTATCAGTTGAAAATAATAGATGATGCCAAGTCTTCTTATCCAGTCTCTGCGTCATGAATTGTCTTCGTTTGCCCATATTTACAACGATTTAATAGTCGGGTTAAATAAAAATACTAACGAAGAAATGAGGAATCGGAAATATAAATGGATTAATGCAAGTTATGATAACTCATGGACCTTGCTTAAATTTTTTAAGACAAATGTCTGCTTTTGTTTCAATAAGTCTGCTTATCGATTAGAAATATTAACAGTTTTTAATGTTTTAATATTTTCCACTTGGCTTATATTATAAAATACAAAAAACTTTATTAAATTTGCTTAATGGGAATTGGATGCTAATAGAAAAACTATGGGAGTATTCTTATAATTATTTTTATTATATAGACAAGAACCATGATTAGAATATTTTTCAAAATTTGAAAGTTTATAAAATTTGGAAAAGTTAATTCCATCCTCACAAAAGCTTCCTAATAATATTGATTCAAAATGAGTTTTTATTGGAGATAAAGCTTTTCCAATTAATCCAAATTCTAAATATTCATTATATCCTCACGCTATCTTATTTACCGGCCCTTGCACCATTATAATATGTACCTAGTGCAAAATTTAGGATACTATTACATACAGTAGAGCACGACGTTGGTACGATAACTATACTCAATCATATTAAATCTAGAAAGTGAAACAATTATAAATATCAGACTTGCCAAAAATTAATACAACTGATACAGAAAATTCAATAAATGCGTTATTATTGTTTTATAAATAAACTAGCTAATAACTCGTCAAGAATGACGGGGACGAGGGGTATTTAGTTAGTTTGTGTATATGGTGCTAAATATACTTTATTAATATATTTTATAAAAATATTAAAATTTAGGAGAAAAAGAGGTAAATTTGTGAATCACACCTTATAAGATATTCTTAATTTCTGATTCATCTATCATCGAATAAGGGAGAAAAGTATAATGACCCGTCCTTCTTGATGTGCAATATAGAAATATAATAACTAAGAGTACCAGAGCTCCCGTTAGTCAGCATTGCTGAGCTCGTCAAAAATGAAGGGTAATTAGAATTTTCTCCTTACTTTTATGATAGTTGTTACCTGTTATTTGAAAATAATATCCAATTTTTAAACATTATAACCCCCCCCCCCTTCAGGCCAGGTCCATAAGTGTAAATGCTATTTTTGAGTCAAAATATATTTAAAGCTTTTACTTGATACCCATATCAATATTATTTGTTAAAATATTACTGATCACCTATGTTTAATATTTAATATTAAAAAATTCCCAAACAAGGTCCAAGGCAATAATAATTTTGAAAAAAATTTCCCCAAGCCCAACCAAAGATCATAATTTTAGTAGTTGAGAACTGGATAAAATATTGAAAAAATCATAATGTTAAATATATTCAAAATCAGATTTTCATGGGCCTTGGTTTTTTGATCAGGTCAAACCCAGGCCTGCAAAAAAAAAATTTGTTTTAGGTCAATGTCTGATCCATAGTTATAATAGAAAAAATTCCTAAGCGTCCAAACTGATAATAATTTAAAAATTTTCCCCAAGTCCAGCCCAATATAATTTATAAAAAATTTTCAAGCCAAGCCCGATCTATAATAATTTTTTCTCAAACCTGGCCAACCCATAATAATTTTGAATCTTTTTCCCAAGCCTGGAGATAGGTAAATCTCTAATAACCATATCTATTTTTTATTCTTTTTAATCAGGTTCAATCCTACTTCACACCAAGGCCAACCCATTAAGACTAAGAGTGAATACTATTTTTTGAGTAAATATATTTAAATTAGCTTTTACCGGAGATCCATATAAATATTCTGTGTTAAATATTAAAAAAATTCCCAAGCCAGGTTCATGCATATAATAATGTTGGGGAAATTTTCTCAAGCCCACCAAAGACCATAATAATTTTGGTAGTTGAGAACTGAAATAAAATATATAAGTCATAATTCATTTAAAAATACAATCAGAATATGAAAGTTGCATGGGCCTTGGTTTTTTGATCAAAATTTTCAGACTTCAAGCATCTCTATTTTAAATTTTACCCAATATGATTTCTATCACAAATTTAAATTTTCTTCTAAATATAAAATTAAATTTAAGACATTGTTACTAAATTAAATAGAAATAAATGGCAAAATTTTATGAAAGTTACATGGAACTTGGTTTTTTGATCAGGCCTGGGCTATATCCACAAAAAAAAATTCAGGCCAATGTCTACCCATATTTGAAATTAATAAATTTTCAAGTATCACTATTTTAAATTAATATGATTTCTATCTCAAAATTAAATATACAATAGAATAAATGGCAAAATTTTAAAAATATCAGCTGCGGCAATTGAGTTGTATTAATATGTATGTATAATTAATATTTTAAATGCAATTATAATTCAAGTTGGTGTATTCTAAAGCGAGGCTCTGCCATCTTTTTCACAGCAGCCGTTTAAAAAAAATAAAATAAAACTTAGCTTATACATCATTCAAAAATACCTGACAACTTTATTTAACTTTATCAGTTGGTCTTATAATAAATAACTAGTCATGCAAATTAGCATTCGATAAAGGTACATGACAATTATATAAATTAAATTTGATAACCTGAATTTTATTGTATTATATCAACAAAATATATAATATTGTCTTGTCATATAAACAAAAGCGAAAATAACTTGCCTTATTTAAGACAATTTGACATTATAATTTAAGAACTAAATTGATTGATGTCTAATGTTAAAAGATACAAAAAATATATATAAAAGATTCTCCCTCAGACTGCAATAAC